GGTGGTTTTTAAAATTTTGGGGGCCCTAAAAAAAAAAATTAATTAAACTCATTGTTCCCCCCCCCCCCCCCCCCCCCCACCAATTGTAGACATCTTATGATTTGTTTCTGTATCTTTTGTAACCTCATTTTATTAATTGTTCACACTTGAATCTCTTTGTTTACTACAAATATTTAGTGAACGTTATTTTTCTTTCTCTCTCTGTTCGTAATTGTTCAATAAATAAAACACTCATATTTTGTTACAACAGTACAATTTGAAGAGACAATTTAAAGAGACAATGTAGATATGTATGATGATCTAACGTATATATGTCAGTTTATGCCTTTAGAGAAGATTTTTCTTGTGTAAAAAATTCTCTCCTGCGTCGCTGTAAGCTAGCATTTTTATTTATTTAACAAAGCCAATTATATCATTCTCTTGCAAAAGAAAGATTGTCCTTGAACTTGCCATTGAATTTACCTGAAGACATGTATTGATCTATATAATCAACATCAATTGTATATCATCGAACGAGAGAATGTAACAAACAGACGTTGATCAAATTAGGAACAAACGTTTGCCTTATCGTTAACAGAGGATAAATGTGTTTCTGAAATGATAACGAATAATCCATGTGTTGAACGATGTGAAAGGTGAACGTACGCATGATATTTTAATCAAATTATTTATGTCCTATAAAGATAAACGATATTGAAAATGTATTACAGATCTGAATACATTTTTTGGCTACTTTTTTTTCTGAATAATAAACAACAAAAAAATGGTTACATCACGCTTCTTCTTTTAATTTAAAAAAATAAAAATTGACATCACGTGTTGTTATTTTTCAATATTTATATTATGTATAATATTCAGATAGTATTCTACTGTCTTTTGTAACAATTGCGATTGATTTCTTTCTAAGTACATATAGATCGACTCACACACCTTATCTCTTTCTTTTTTCTTTTCTCTAAATATTACATACGCTGTGAAAGAGATCACAATGTTTCTAGATGATGATGAAATTAATTATGTTTTACAATATGTTCGTCTAACTATGTTCAATATAGACACATTTATGAGTAAAAACAGAAGAATGGATTCCCACAAGTCAATACAAAATATTAATTGTTCATCATACAAATTTTTACAACTCTCAGTTTACTTTTTCTAAATATCAACTACTGTCGTTTTGTATTATCATTTATTTGACTCATAATGTAAAAGAGTGGCTAAATATTGAAGATTTTTTAGTTAGAAAAAATTGAATGTTTAGAAACTAAGAGAGTGTTCGTGTTGTGAATTATTCAATCTGTCAACTAGAGAACAATATGGTTGTATGTGTACAATGAATTGTCCATTTGATCATATTCAATAGGCTTCTTTATCAGTGTTCAGATCTGTCACTTTATTGAATTCATTCTTTGTCTTCCATTTTTATGTAAAATTATATAATACAACAAGAACAATATTATAGTAATTTTGATAGAACTTTTTAAAAAAAGAAATGTATATTATCTATAAAAAGCAGTTATTGTTAATTTTATGTAGATAAAGTATAGAAATTCGAACAATACTGAGACTTTCTTCAAATCATCTATCTCAATCATATTCATATTGTTTGCTAGTTAAACAATCGTGTATGTGTTCATGAAAGCTGTCAATCTTTAATCTTTACTAAATTTCATCTTTTTTCTCTTAATTTAATGAAGATTATTTATTTCAAGCTTCTCATTATCACTCTTCCTCTTTTTCTTTATGCATAAAATTTTCCAAGGCTTTTTTGTTTATGTGTGTGTGTTTGTGCAGCACATTGTCAATACACACGCACACACAATATGAAGAACAAAAAGAGAAGCGAAGTCGGTGAAATAAAATGTCACAGGATGATACACTTAGCCTTCACACAACAGAAGTATAAAGTACAGATATTTGCATAAAAGTAAAATGGAAGAGAGGGAGAGAGAAAGAGAGAGAGAGAGAGAGAGACGGATTAAAAGCTATAATAATAATAATGAATTATGATTACAATGAAAAGGTGTAGATGATGTTTATCTGCCATAATTTACAATTGTCTATACATCTAATCTAAAGTAAATTATATATTGCAGACAAAAAAAAAAAAAATTTTTTGCAATCAGAAACTGTGTGTCAGAAGCGAAGGTCAATAAAAGATTTCTAAAACTGGCGTAAGTAAAAATTTATTTTAACTACGGAACGTCGTAGAAATAAAACTATTTATTTCAAGATATTGTTCGATAATAATGTTTTGTTTGAAATTGCCCATGTTTATCTGATCATTATTGTGTATATTTAGCAAAGTACAGGTCATTGACACTTATATTATGTTCATAATTGGTTGAGAGTTAAAACATGTCTGGAAATAGATGAGAAAAGGTTAAACAATGTCTCTTGGTGAATGGAATACATCTAATTTCTTTATCGACTACAGACTGTTGTACTTATTTTACTCAACATAGAATATATACAACATCGTGTTCTAGTTTAAACTGTTTTCCAAGTATGTATGATATCTGTTGTAAGTTTTGACAGTTCAGATTGTATTAATGGACTAAGTAGTATTGAAAAAGATGTTTAAAAAAAAACAAGTGGAAAATTTTTTATTTTGTGGTTATTAAGAAATCATATGTCGTTAATAGATATGCATATAATGATGACGTGTTATCACGTAGTAATAATCGAGATAATATCCATAGAGAAAGACAAACGCTTAACTTTAATTGTCTAATAACATTTTTTTAAAATGTTTTTATCTTCATTATAACAGAAAGTTAAATTTTTTATTTCTTAGTCTAAGGAGTACTTTTTAAAACGATTGTTATTATTTTAACGTGACACATAAATTTGTGAAAATTAGATATAGATATTAGATTTATCCAAACTATTGGTCTATTAACCTCGTAAGCATATTTAGCACTTTCTTACCCATCTATCATCATGCTCATTGAAAACTCTTTAGTCTAGCGAGAGATGACATATATATATATTGTACAAGGATACATGTTATTCACACTGAATACTTGATGGTGCTCTCTCATTGACAATTGCGGATATTATTAACTTTCATGTTCGAATTGATAGTAGGCACAATGATGATATCCCTGGTTAATTCATCTATTCTGATTTGGTTGTTATCCTTTACTTATTTCTGTCATAATAAACGACGACAAACGTCTGCCGTTGAGTGCTAACTGCTCGTATCTTTTGCAACCTTGTCTTGAGCAAGGTTTTTTTTAATTAATGTAGTAGAATACTAGTTTGAAGAAAGAACAGAAAATGTAAAAAATTCACTTAACATATCTTTTTTTTCGAGAGTATTTTAGATGATGTCTACAATGGAAGCAGAAGTGTAATATGTTACTGCTTCATTGTATCAAGCACACGCACACACACACATACACACACACACACATTGCATAATTGTTGAGGATATTTCAAGTGTATATAATGTCAAACGAACAACATATAACTTGTTTTATACATATATAAAGGAAAAAGTTCATAATAACATCGTGATACAATATGACATAATTGACAAAACTGTTCAATTTTCTTATTTTGTTTATATATATTTGCTTCGAAGAACAAGAAAATTTGTTTATTAACAGGTTTTCTTACTCACCATACGCACGAAATGTTTTCATCATGTAAGACATTGAAAATTTTTATATAGATTTTAGTGAATTTGAAATATCATTGTTAACTGTTACATATGCTTAAAATGTGTACTTCTATATAACCTGTATCTCAGAGAAAAATATTTGTGTACTAGTTAAGAATAGTAAAACATTTTTTATCCGTTTTTCCCTTGTCTTAGGTATATTCAGTCCAACTGACAGCAAACCAATTCAAAATTGTCTCTCTTTTTTGGATGATGATACAACAACACAATTACGCTCATTATGGATCGATAGAAAAATCAATTCAATGAACTATAATAATACTATCAGACAAAAAAATTATCAACAACCTATCATGTGTGCAAGTAGTATGTCGATGCCAGTTCGATTTTCATCTCGTCTTCCATCCGATTGTTCTTCCGATAAATTATTATTACCTCTTCGTTCAACAAGAACTGTTAAACGTCGTTCAAGTTTATTTGAAAAAAGTCGTGATTGGGTAAAGTATTAAATATTTTAACAAAAATGAATTGTTATCTGTAATTGTTCATATTTAGGCTCGACGTATTATATCATCTCGTCGTATAAATCGACGAAATACTTCGTCGAATGATAAAATAATTATACGAGATACTTGTTGTACTAATACTGATAATCAAGAGAAGAAAAAAAAGAAAACTTTTAATAGTCATAGTCTTGATGAAGACGGTTATTTATCGCCATTGGAAATCAAAGCAAAAGTAGGAGAATTATATACATTCAAAATAAGTAGTTTGCATTGTATATAAATGATACTTTATCCAGTCTCATGGTGATAAGTGTGGGATGGTGTCCACATTACACCTATTTTTTTTGATTTTGCTCCATTCTCCCAATCAAAAGGATCTCTTTCGATTTTTTGAGGGCAAAGTTTGTCCAGAAGATTATAGCGGCAAGAAGCCAAGAGAAAACACAATCTTCCAAAAGTTCTTATCGTACTCTAAAAACTAGCTATACCCGCTTTGTTTTTCTTGGCTGTACCACTGACTTTATCTTTATTATTGTGTTAATGATTATATATTGTTTTTGCGACTGTGTAAAACACGAATATTGGAAAGAAATTGAGGTCAGTGACATTGTTTTTCCAAGCTAATGTCCTAACCGGAAGAATTTAATAGTAAAAATCATGTATTGAAAAGACTAAATGTGGTTCGACTGTGTTCAAAACTTAGGTATTGATCTAGCAAATCAATGGCACTAGGTTCTAGTCTCAGTTGAAACATGTCTTATTCTTCGCAATATTCGTCCACAGTTACTAAAACTATATACGTTCATTTGACATAGACAAGTTCTAATGCTTAACAAACTATTGATTTACCTTACTGCGTAATGATTTTATCAGACCGTTACTCGGTAAAGTAATGCAATGATATCGATAAAATGATGCACACATTTTGTTCACGTTATTCTGTATTTTAGTTAGAGAATATTTCTCAGGAAGATGATCGACATTATACACTGCCAGATCGTCGACATTCTCTCTCACGAATATTGTATAAATCATCACCACTACCGCCGCCAGTTGTAACTGATCATGGATTATGTTCTAGTAACTCTGAATCACATCTCGTTTATCGATGTCAATCGATGCGAACACTTAAAGCACAACCACCATTAACGTGTCTGTTAACAAAACGTTCAAGAGAAACGGAATCTACTGCTGAAATCGATGATAAAATAAGTCCTTTAGTATGTTCAAATAATATTTCGGAGAAAACAAATCGTTCATATTCGTTAACATCGTTTGCAGGTGAATATAAAAAAAGTTTAATATCACATGATGAACCTATCGATTATATTGATTTTGATTGTATCGATGGTGGAGATGAGTGTCAACAAATAAGTCCTAGTCATGAGTATTGTGCAGTTAATGAATCAGATCAAACAGATGATGTTCTTCAAGATTTAAAATTATTATTCGATGACGATGAACAATCGCCGTCATCTACAATATGTACATTACCTCCTATTGGTAATTTACCCTCATCTCGCCGTCGATTAGCGGCACGTACTTCGTCTCCATTATCTTCTCGTCGATCAACAAATACATCTTCAATTTCAACAGATTCTGGTTGTTATATGATAAATAGTGAAGTATTTGATCAACCAACGAATTCTGTGAAAATGATTCCATTACAACTTATCTCATGTACACTATGTTCACTTAATTCTATTACCGTTTTTTCTGATAATTCAACACCGTCTTCGAACATTTATTTAACGGAAAATAAAGACTTACCATCATCGTTGTCCTCTGCAAATGTTTATTTTCAATATTCGTCATGCAATTGTCATCAGAATCATCCTTCTACTTTTTATCGTAATCCAAAATTGTATTATCCACAAAGTTTAACATATGTAAAAGATAATAATTTATCATTAAAAAATTCACATTCGTATCATTCATTATTGAAAAAAAATAAATATTCTTCAACAAAAAAATGTTATTCAAAAGGATCAGGATCATCTGTTATTGAAAATTATAATCGTTGTACTTGTCCGTATTATTCGACAAATAATTGTGTTTCTACATCTCAACATCGTCCTCATAAAACCATAGCCGAAGAACAATGTAAAACAAAAGAAACACTTTTATCGGATGACGAGAGAGAGTTAATGAGTGCTCCATGGTACAAACCGAATATTGAACGGTAAAATTTATTAAAAAACTATCATTTTAATTTTTTCGTAAGCTAAAATTAGATGATTTTTTTAGAGAGACCGTTTGTGATGCACTACAAAAAGCCGATTATGGCATGTTTATACTACGCAACAGTAAAACTCATATTGGCTGTTTTGCATTATCGATTAAAGTACCGAAATATTATCAAGAAAATAACATTGCACATTATCTTATCGAAAAAGTCAATAATCAAGGTTATAGAGTAAAGGTAATTGAGAATGCATAAACAGTCAGTCAGTTAGTCATATATCAATTCATTGTTATTATCGTTCTTTTTCCATTTTTAGGGAACAATTAAAATATTTCCTAGTCTCTCGTCACTTATAACGCATCATTCTGTTATGCCAGAAACATTTCCTATCACATTGAATTTGGCGGCTTATCAAGTGTCCAATAATCATTCGCATTGAACAGGTTTACTATGAGTGTTTCTCATATATTTATTTTCAGTCAGATGTTTGTTTTTTTTTTTGACAAATAACAGTGAATTAACATTTTGTGTGCATCTTCGCTAAATAATAAATACATAAAGCAATTTGTTGACTATCTTTTCGGTGTGGTCAGCTAACGGTCCACCTTCGGATGAGAAGGTTCAGATTTTTGTTTTAACTTGAACAAAGCTTAAAAATACATCATTAGATGCAGTTTTTCACGGTGATTACAAATCTGGACTGAAAAACAAATGAAAATCAAATCTTTGTGGTGAAAATTTAAATTTTTGAATTTTAAATTTAATTTTTTAGATATTTTTTCCAAAAATTCTGAAAACTATACCGTCGGATAGAGAATCAAATCCTCTACCAAAGGGCTCATTTGTTTTGACGTTTAGATGCCAAATTTTTTTGGGCTTGTTTTGTGAGCAATTTTATGCTCATTTAACCTAACTTTGAAAATTTATTTTTGGCTGCATGAAATGAAGGGCGCCTCAAACTATCTATCTATGTGTAAATCAGAGCTTGTGAAGTAGTTCTGTGACAGAAAAAATATATACCAAACCAGCTGCAAAGAAGAACAAAAAACGGTGAAATTTCGTAACGGTCACTCTTATTCGATTTTCTCTGCCATGAAACTAATTCAAGAAAAAGTCAGTAGTGATTCTGATAGCCCAAACTGTGAGCTTTAATTTGGTAATTAAGCAATCACTTTAAATTTAATTTAAGGCTGAATAATTTGCATTTTACTGGAATACGCCGAAAAACACTTCCATTTTTTGAAATTCCGTAACGGCCTCTATTTTGACTATAATTTTTGATCCGCTTGTTCAAACAAGCTCAAATTATTTTTGGTAGTAGAACTCCCTAATATCCATCATTGGTATAAATTTCATTGATAAATCTTGCTTCTTTGCTGAGATAAGGAGCACAAAAGACTGAAAAATGAAATTCCGTAGCATTTGGCCAAGTCGTTTTGTCTTCTCAAACGAAGGACTGAAATTTACTTATATCGTACTGAATTATCTTTAAACTATTTACAAGATACGAATGAAAATATAGTTAATTCCTCATCTTATCAAACCGTTTGTGAATAAAAAAAAGTACGAGAAAAACAATCTATTTGGTAAAGTGAGAAGAAATAGCACGTGTCACAAACAATGCACGATTCTCATTCAAATTTTCCGATATATGTCTATATTAGGTTTGATGTAATTTACGGATTTCTACTGGTGCGTATCAAATACATTCAATCAGTCTAAGAAAGAAAAATACACGTTTTTTATTATAAATATTTCGATGTTTTATCTTGATGGGATTTTTGCTGATCAACTAAGAGTATTCGTTTATTGATAAAAGAAAAGTAATTTCAGTTTTTTTACTTTCAAGTATTTCACCGATTCAACCATCCATCAATCATTCAATGAATGAATCAATGGCGAGCGTATACAAAAACTCTTACCTTTGAATGGTTGTAAAACATCTTTTGAAATATTTGATTTTATTTAGACATAGTTTAGTTGTGCATAAATGTAAAGTATAGATGAAAAAGAATATTATTTTTGTCTTTTAAAAACTAAACAGTTATTTAATGGATATGTTCATAGAATGTTTCTTGCTACACATCCCACTAATCTAAAGACCATAATCAAGCGCTATTACCTTCTGTTGTATTTCTCCACATACGCATGTCTTAATGTACACGACTTTTTTCATACTGCTAATTTTGTAGAATTCGTAAAGAACTTACTTTAAGACAAGACATCATAACAAAGATCACTAATTATTGTATTTTTAGAATAAAATTATAATGGTGAAAACCGCTTGTGAAAATATCATTTTCCTTTTTCAGTTACAGTTGCTTTACTGAATCGCTCCTCATTCGAGCAATGGATGAGAAATGCTCAATTATCTGTTACGAGAAAGGATTTGGAGATATTCTAATAATAGATTCTTGTTCATCAGAAGTTTGTTAACCGTAGACTTAATTTAAATTTCATAACTAGTCAGACACGCGGATATTTAAGATTATATTTTTTTTCTATTAATTATTTTGTTCCGTTACGTTCGTTAACAATAAATTAACATTTTTACTAAAACAATTGACACACTAAAACATCCAGAACTTCTTCTAATCGATTCTGAGTTTCAAAGATTTTAGGAAGAGTATTGTTTTGTGTCGTCCCATGTTCATGTTCTTCAGCAATTTTTGAATTTCTCTTTTGTTTACAGAAAATCTAGTTATTTTTATTCGTTGTTAGTGTTTTGCTTAGATGTTCATTCATATGTAAACAATGGTTTGTGCACAAGAACAGAACTAGGTAGTTAACAATATATGGAAAAATATATATTGTTTACATTAAAATAGGCTATCAAAAAAAGTACAAATTTTACTAGTTACTACAACATTGAAATGTTATCATCTACCATATCAGTCTGAAATAGAAAAAAAATCTACAAGTAACCACCAAATCAATTCAAACGTACGGAGTTCGAATCCCGACAACGGTGGTCGCATGATAGTCTTGGACACGCTGTCTAATGCTCGTTGTCTCGGTACCCTTGGACACAGATGCAATGGAGTAACCCGATTTCAATGCCATTGGATTGGAGAGATGAGAGTTAAAGTTTAAAAAAAACAAAAAACACCATCAAATTCAAATAACTATCAATGTGTTTGATATAAACTTATAACAATTCTTATGTTGAAAACTATAAGAATATGTCAATATTCAAAGATATGTATCATATTTCTCTCATATTATCGTTCATTTTATCAATTTAGAACTTTTCTTTAAATTCGTAGAAATACATTTGTACAATCTCAAGAGTTTGAATTGTTAAAATTTTATGATTTTTCATGGCCGATGTTTTTGTCGATTAAGAAAGCCTCATTGTTGAAGAAAGTCTTCTGTATTATATCGGTTCTGGTTCACTTAGTACACATCGAATATGTACTAGTAATATCTCTTTGTTTTTCTTTTACGCATGATTGTATGCGAATTTTGTTCGCACTTTGACATCACACATATACGCGACTTTCACAATTATCAAAAGAATTTATCATACGCCATCTGAAAGATAGATCGAGGAAGAATGTGAAAATTGCAGAAATCTTAGTGTGTCATGTTGCAAAGATTTTTTTCTCAAATTCAGAACGAATCAATATCCTCCCGTTTGCCTACGATTCTGTAGTAGTGGGAAGTATTCAGCATGCCTGATAGATCGAATAATTCTTTCCCAGTTTCATATTGAGATCAAGAGTAGAACATGTTTAATTATTAAAGACGAAAAATAAAACACGAAAAAATATCTTGGTGCAAATGAGAGCTCTTGGGTATTTTTCAACGAAGTTTGAAAATGTCAGAATAGGTTGATTTTTTCATTGTTAGACACAACTGGTAAAAAGCAATAGTACAGATGTCAAATTTTTTTAGAACTAAATTATATACCTTTCACTAGAAGGGATAAACATTCATCCAACATACCCAACCAGTTGTTCGAGGGGTACTTCGAGTGCTCGGAAATATGCTTTCGATGGACCCTCGAAAAATGGTACTGCGGACCCTCGATATAAGCTTTCGAGGGGTATTTCCGAGCCCTCGTCGGATTCTGAAGACTTCCAGACCCTCGTCGCACCCTCGATAGAGTGAGGGCGCAGAAGTCCCGAACATCTCTATTCGACGACTCGAAATTTTTCTCGAGGGCTTGCTACCTACCAGAAATCTGAGGGTTCGAAATCGATACCCCACGAAAGCTTATACCGAGGGTCCGAAGTACCATTTTCCGAGGAGTCGAGCCCTCGACGAGGGTCTATTTTCGAGTACCCGCCGCACCCCTCGAACGACTTTTTTCATCTGTATGGATATTATATCGGACGTAATCCGTATGACTAATAGTTAGCATAACACATTTTTTGGACTTCATTATTCAACGACAGTAACATTCGTTGATGACCTTTGATTTATTAAATTTGAAAAATAACGAATGATCTCATAATCTTTCTCATGTTCATTCATCCGCGAACATATTTCAACAATTATTAATTTGTGCATAAAAATATTGAATGTACATCTGTTACAATTGATGATATTAATATATATATATATATCAATGATTGTGATTAAGAATGATAAAAAATTAAAACAATTAAAGACTAAAAACAGATAATATTAAACGAACTAACATATATAACATATTTTATAACAAAATTATGTGATGTAATCATAAATATCACTTTAGCAGTTATCAAATTTTTCACTTCATTCAGATATATATTCATGGCTAAGGACATATACAATCGTGAAACTATTTAACTTTCAACAGAATTCATAGGATGATTTTTATATGTAAATGGAATAAATCAACGAGAATATACATGAACGAAGTCAATCAGAAGACTTTAGTTTTGGTCTAAGTATAGAGTTTATGAGTATTTTTTGAGTCGTTTTGGCAAAATAAGATGGATATCGACTAAAATTTCAAATATGCATGATTTAAAAAGATTCTAAAGACATTTTCAGAAAATTCTAGCAATAAAGGTGAAAATACGATCTATCCGTCTATTATATTATAAAAGATAATTAGTAAGGGAAAGATCTTAATCAGATGATGATTAGTATAGATGAAATGCTAATAAATACACAGTTATCTCTTAACTCATATATTCTTTTTTCTTCGACCTGCGTGATCTTTCTGATCATTGTTGACAGCTGAAAAAATGCCGAAATATAAGTTACGTTGATAATATTAATTCGAACTAAATATCTGTGCAAACGAAGAATTTTTATCAATATCAAACACAATCATTAATACAATATATTTTATCTGGTTCATCTTATTGAGTTACATAGGATAAAATTTATGAAATAAATGTAATTTTTCTATTGGATCAATCGTGTGTATGAATTGTTGATGCTAAAGAAGAATTTCATCTTGCGACTAATCAGGAACAGGCGGAAAATATTGAATTTTATAAG